TCTTGCGTCTCCACTGTCGCTTGCCCAGGGTATCTCTACTGATGAGATCAAGGTCAAAACTACGGAGGTGGAGAAGGCGACGGACTGTCTCGTGAAGGTATTCAAGGATTTCGATTCGCGGGTCTGGAGCGATCTGAAGAAAATGTCTCACGGCTGTGCGATCACGTCGACCGCTGACCAGTGAGTATGAGCCATGCACGTGCAGCACTACTCAGACGCATCGAAGGGTGCATCTGATTTCACTGGCCGTTTACGGCTGCCACTTCCGACCAGCATGTATGCTGGTGTTTTGGGGTTCGTTGGGGATTGGTGATGTGCTTGATCATTTCGTTTGAAGCACGCCATGTCGCAATGGTGCTTTATCACCAGGCGTATGTCTAACCAGATCTGTCGTGCGGGGTTGTACCACAAAACACGTATTCAGCTGCGGTATTGCGTATCGCAACAATATTAACAATTACATGTCGGCGATCATTACTACTCGGGCGATGCGCAATACCGCAGCCGTCTGACAGCCATCACAACTAGCACACCATGTGTTAACGCAGCATGGTGCATGCTATTCAGGATGCCACAGCATGCCGCATGATAGACACACGCATCAACCAATACAATGTGCGTACGGTGTGTTACATCGTTATTCTGACTGTGGATGGTGGAATTGGGTCTGTTGTTATGGGGGTGCGGATCTAAGATGAGACACACGATATACATCCAAGATTGGGGTTGCACACGCTGAGTGTTGGTCACAGTGGCTGTCGCCGCAGTTTTGGCTTTGCAGTGCGAGTCGCTGGCATCGGCACCTGCGCAGACACTTTGAGAAGTGCCATGCGATGCCTGGCCGCGGGGTGCGGCAGCGACACTTTGAGAAGCAGTCAACTGGTCAGTCGAGTTCGTGGATTCATCGCTTATGGCGCGGGGGGAAGATTAGCTCTCGGGCGGTTGGTCGTGGGGCCAGGGCAGGATTACACGACAGAAATACGTGCGAGCTCTTGGCGAGCTGGAAGCGCATCGCCAAGACGAAAACCAACGAGACCAACGCGCAGAGAGATCTGATGAGGAAGCTCGAGAAGGAGCGTTTTTGGGGGGGTCTTAAGCTGCGCGCTGGGGGGTGCCGTCTCGGTCGGGGATGACCAATCGTACGCCGCGGCTGGATTCGTCTACAATGCGTCTCTGCAATGCAAAACCGTCTCCAGAAAACAAATATGCCACAACCATATCAAGCACGCTTACCGTTGTGGGATCGTCGAACAGGTGCACAGACCACTGGCATAATAAGTTTTTTATTGTTCACAGAGATCCTTGGGACAGCGCTCATCAAGCCAGGGGATGAAGCACACTGGTCCAGCTACGATGCGAACCAGGAGCACGGGTAACAAACTCGTGCCACCCAACCCCTAAATCATTAGATTAATGCCTGCTGGTTCCCGACATGATCGGTCAGCTACATGTTTTCCAGCTCTCGCCCGCGCGCTTGCTCGCCTGCAGGAGGCGCTCCACCCTCGAGTTTTTGAATGGGCCGAGCGCATCGGCATCAGCCACGCCGATACAGACGGCATGATCATGTGCGGCTTATGGGGGGACGGTGCCCCCTACCACACGCGTGACAGCCTGTGCATGTTCACCATCACAGCACTTACTGGCACGTGCCGTGCGGCAGATTAGAATGTGCCCAACCTGCGCCCACTACCCCCCCCCCCGACCCATTCCCGACCGCCCCAATGACACTACCCCGTCACATGATTGGGATCACATCGCGTTGCGACGTACACGTGTGTGTTAGAGGGAATCGTCCCCCAGGTGCCGCAAGCGTTACCGGGCGGTTTGTTTGAGCAAGCGGCACGTGTGTCAATGCGGCTGCGGAGGCAGGTGTACTTTCCGCGAGGTGAGTTTGCTTTCAAGTATGGTGACCATTTGCTCGCATTGAATCCCTCGTTTCCTACTAATCAATATCTACGGTTGTGTGGCGACCTCCCAATCCTACATTTATGTGTATATACATACATATGTATATATGTCTCATCGGACTCGATCTGGCACGATTCTTTGCGAGCAATGTTCGGCGTCACCCGAATTGTATAGGATGACGTTGCACGCCAAGATTGGCGAATTGTTCCCAAGAGAGCAATGTTGGTCTGGGAATCGGGCGGGTACGGGATGTTGGCAGTAGATAGGTACCGTGTTGTCTGTCTTGGGGTGCAACGTTGATCTGTGCATGTGCCCCAGGTTTGGAAAGTTCTCGGATGGATGTGTCGATATTGGGTTACAGGGAGGTGGCCCCAGAATCGACACGATGGGACACCGTTCGAGGGGTCCGAGTTCCGGGGTGATAAACAGAGGGCTGCCAGATCAAGGCAGCGCATGCGAACGCGGGGTGGCATCATCGATTACAGAGGGGATTGGGCATGGTTCCAAGGCGTATTCAACATTACAGGGTGGCGAGGGGGGCCTGGACATACAAAGATATGCTACCGCTGTCCGTGCACGGCTGCAGAGTTGGACGAGTTTGGCAACGATGCGAGGTGGCGACGTGGAGTGTACAGTGCCAAGCGTTACGTTGAACCGATGCGCTCTGGTGATGTGGTGGTCGACACTGGACCGCTGCAGATTCCAGGATTTTCCTGGATATATTTGCGACCTGGCCTCATGCACGTGGGGTGCCTCGGCGTGACCCAGGAGACCCTGGGAAACGTGATGTGGGAGATTTTCGTAGAGTTGGGCGGTCGAGTTACGCAGCCGCGCAGGGTGTTGGGCAAACTCACATTTTCTCTATATACCCCCACCCACCACGCCCTCACCGTTAAGTATCACCCCACTCCCACTCCAGTCTTGCTCCGCATAATGAGCTCGATACCCTCTGCCTGTGTGTTATCGGCTTCTGTGCTGTTCCTGGTGGTACTCGCCCTATCGCCTTTGCTAGATATTTTCCCCATGTGTCCCCACCACTCCGCCCCGAAATTATAGAGTGGTCGTCGCCGTGGCACCCCAGGTTGTGACCATCATGCAGAATCTACTGGAGCTTGCATCCCACGCTCTTGGCACGCCGTGCCCGATTGGGAACCTAACGTGTGGGATGTTTCGTGTCAAGACTACGAAGGCACCTAAGATGAAAACTAAGGCTGCTGAAGGGCGGTATTTGGTCCCGATCCTCGATCATCTATTGCTCAGACTGATGCCCTGCAATACTGATCATCAACGCACACGGTGCGTGTTGCACTGACTTAAACACCGCTCCCCCGCCCCCTCTGTCACACACATACATAGATTCAGCAATGTCACGCACATACGTATGCACAGCCATGTTTAGACCCGCAGATTGCGACCAGTTGGTCGTTGTGTTTGAATTCGCAGGCGCAGTTGTGTTCATTACCTTGCACTGTGCTACAACGAGTGCAAGTTCTGGGATCCCAGCGAGAGTCCCAAGAAGCTCGCAGAATATGCGATGCGCCACCTCATCCTATACAAGGAGCTTCAGAGTACACGGTTGGACAGTTTGTGTTGGATGCTCAAGCCGAAACACCACCTCTTCCTCGAGGTTGCAGAAGAATGCTCGCCTGGCAATCCCGCGGACTGTGAGGGTAAACCATACGCCTACATACTACACTGCACGAGTCACACTTCTTATATCATATTATAACGCTACCACGGCTGGTCTCCGCCATACGCACACTAAACCATAAATATATATAGAATGGCACGTTCCATATCACCAACTCGTACGACATACGCGTGCATTAACTCATCATCAGATATACGATCACGTGCACTCATCAGTTATGTATATACATACATACATAATACCAAACATGCGTATGTAATCATCTCAGAGTAGGTGGTTGGGTTGCTCTTCGTCAAAACTGTACACATGTTGTGACAACTCCATGATAAAACACATCCATCACATGACAGAAAATGCTGTTATTTGACGGGCACGTCTGTCATCAGACAGAATTTTCTGTCATATGACATAATTTTCTGTCATATGACGGAAATTTCTGTTACGTAATTATTCAATATATGTGTTATAGAGATAGAAACACTCACAATATGACAGAAACATCTGTCATATGACAGAAAAGTATGTCATTTGACGGTGTTGGTCGTATAGGGTTAACACATGCATTCGCATCATTACAATATACGGATCGGCCGTTCTGTCATACGACAATTTGTTGATTTAACTCTCAGTAAATAGCACGAATAATATAACACACAAACCTGTTATATGACAGAAAATTCTGTCATATGACAGAAAATTATGTCATATAACGGTTTACGTTTTGTGGTGCCGTAGAAACAACGCTAACAACATAGCATAACATTGAGATACAACATCCACATATGTCATGTGATGGTTTGTTCTGTAAGTAGTACACCGACACACCACCACTCCGATACACTGCATACCATCTAACAAACAATTCTGGCATATTACAGTCTCTTGATTATAGCCACGTAAAAGTATCCGCCATATGACATCAGTATATGTTGAGACATGTTTATGTCATATTACATATAGGTTTGTTTAGTTGTTCTGGTGGTCTGCTGATACGTGTCACGTCTTTATCGCGAGGACCACTGGGAGTATGCAGATGAATCATGCATCGGAGATGCAGCTGATCTCGCAGAAACGATTCATCCGTCCGTGATGGGGACAAAGCTCATGGACAAATATCGGTACACGTTCGCAGATGTGTGATCGGGAAAAGATTGTCTAGTCGTGCCACTGTTCTTTGCTCGCAGATTCCTATATCGAACTATGGTTCGTTCACCCTCCTTAGTTCATCCTTCAGACACGTCTGACTCACACTTTCAGGGGCCAGTCATCCGCATGCCACTCATTCACCGCACCACTTTCCTCATCTGCATCGTCTTCCCCGTCTGCGCGTCTTCCCACGTTGTTGGCGCTGTGATTGCATTTACTCATCGTTCCGGGCATTGCTTTGTAGACCGCCACTCGCATCATGTGTTGGCCACTCTTGGATTTCATTTCTATTAAA